TCCCCTCTTTATTTGCCTTTCACTGACTAAACCCTGAGTAAACAAGAAGAGTCTGGAAGGATCAGTCATCACTCAGCTCTCTGACTGACATTCCTGCCGTTAGCTCTTGGGGTGTTGGCAGTGAGTCCAGCATTATGGCAGAACCCCAGTGCTCCTCCCAGTTGCCCTCAATTGGGAGGCTGTATTTATGGATTGAGGATGGGTGGGAGATGCTGAATTCATTCTTTCCCAGAGGGAAAAGACATGGTGCAAACAGGCTTGGCCACTGCTCTTCAATCGCAGCCTCACTGCATGCTTTCTGTTTGCAAAGGTCTCTTTCTACCGAGGGGCAGTTCCCGAGAGTGTCCCTGAAGATGCCAGCAGGAGGAGGAGGGGACCAGACTCCCTCTGGCTCGCTACTCTGCCCATCAAACTGCCTGTGAGTTGGTTTGTCTCCTACAGAAAAACTAATCTGGATGGGGTAAGGGTACGACCTTCCTACTCAGCTGCTTTTGTTTCCCTCCAATGAGTGACTGCAAGAAATGGCTGCTCAGCCGCGTCGTGCTGAAGGTTTCCCACTCGCCCTGAGCTCATGTGAAAAGAGAAGCATGAATAGCTGGGAGTGGTCTCCATCCCTCCTGCTCATCTTGCCTGTCAAGCACAGGCTTGTCAGATGGGTGAATGGTCAGAGAGGGGGGATCCTTTGAAAGAATGAGGGATGCAGAGCAGGAGGAAGCTCGCTGTAACTAAGGGAAGGGTCTGGTTTGTTTATAAATTTCTAAGTCACACAGCTCTTGCAGCAGGAAAAAAGGAAGGTCTTGGATGTGGTGGGGAGGTTGGGTTTGAATAGAGGCGTTGGGTACAAGTATTCTGGTGTGAGCCAGGGTCCTCCAAAGGCGAGTCTGTATGTGACAGTGAGAAATGCGACTTTTGCTCAGGGAATTTAATTGATTTTTGAGGAGCTTAAAAGAATAAATACCTTTGTAGACAGAATGCTTTCCTTCAGAGCACGTGCCATGATCTCACATCTCTTTCTGACACGCGCAACCTCAACTACAAATGTAGACGAAGTGCTCTCTTACTGCTGAGGAAATACAGTTTGGGGAGACGGTTCACTGAAAAATGCTCTGTAAAGACAAGAAAGGAAATTTCCAGTGTGAGCTGTGGCTGCAAACACCATGATTTGCTGTTTGCCAGGGGCAGTGAGCATTGCTGGTCATTGCCAGGGTGACTGCTCCTTGCTTCTGACAGCCTGACTCTTCAGCCCCAACGTCTTCCTTCCTCCCCAGAAGGAGGAAGGAAATTTCAGCCTGGAGACTGAACGGCCACACACTGTCCTCTACATCAACAATTTTTTTAGCATGTTCTCACTTTCTCTCTGTGGCACAGCGACTGAAGCCCCGCTGGAGTGAGAACCCCAGTCCCCTGAATGGCTTCTCCTTCCCTCCCTTGAACCTGGGTAATGCTGAGACTGGCTACCTGACACAGGGCAACCTGCTGAGCATCGCCCGGCGTGTGGGAGCCGACTGGCAAACCATCGGCCTCAACCTGGGCCTGACCTACCAGCAGATCGAGCGCATAGGATACAATAACAGGTAAGATCTCTGGAGACATTCAAGACCCGCCTGGACACCTTCCTGTGTGATCTTATGTAGGTTCCTGCTCTGGCAGGGGGATTGGACTGGATGATCTTTCGAGGTCCCTTCCAACCCCCAACATTCTGTGATTCTGTGATAGGACAGACTGATCTATATCTATCTATCTATCTATCTATCTGTCTACCTACCTACCTACCTGCAGTGTAATAGTAGAAATTAATGCTTCACTGGTTAAGTTTTCCCACTGGAATTGTTTCACTGGATAAAAGAGGAGTTGACTAATAATTCCTCTCAAAACATTACCTTTTTTTTAATGGCAAACTGATTATTTTCTCTTGCCATTATAAAACAAAGCTTTATGATTGAAAAACAAAATTAGGAAATAACAAACCCGATGAGCTTTGTAGTTGGGATGAGTCGCATTCCTGTTTTGTTCTGTGATCTGGATTCCTGGCCAGACTCCAGTGCTGACAATGAGCAGTGCTCTGTGACATTAGTTGTGAATATCATCTTTATTCAGAAAGAGCTTGTGGTACGTCATGGGACATACAGTCTGACCAGAGAGCCAGAGAAGTAGGAGAGAATGAGACTTGTTATGACCAAACTGCTGTTCCTGGGGGGAATTTACACTCAAAAGCAGAATGCCTTATTTTCATATTTCCATTAGGAAAAAATATTCTAGAGAGATTTTAGCGCAGGAATTGCAACTCCTGTATGATGGGTGGGGAAAAGGCAGGTCCACTGAGCATTTCTGTGTCTGGATGGCTTCTTTGGAGCTCCACTCATGGGCTAGCACTCAGGGAAGACCTCTTTGGGTTGTCAGTCAGGAGAGCGTGTTGGTTACTTCTGTGCTTCCCCCTTTCTCCAGAGAGGACCTTGATAAGCAGATCCTGGACATGCTTTTCTCATGGGCTCAGCAAAACTCGGAGGATCCTGACTGTGTGAGCAAGTTGATTACAGCCATGAAAGAGAGCGGCCGGCAGGACATTGCTGATGAGGTTGAAACCATCATCGAGCTGGGACGGCAGAAATACAGGGAGTCCATCCGCCGGGTGGGCTTGGAGCAGGAGAGCAGCACTGAGGACTCTGCAATAGCTATGGTGTAGCAGAAAGAACTGGGGTCCCTCTGCGTAACTGGAGTGACGATGTCTTGGGGCTGCTCCCACCTCAAGGACCAGCGTCTTCCTGGGAAGCTGGACGTTGATTTCCTTGGGAGCAGACTCCTGGGCTCTCTTGGGTCTATACTGACGTCTGCCCATCCCAGGCAGTTTAGAGCGTATTGATGAGTCTCTTCTGTACTTTCTCTTCTTGACCTGGAGCTTTAGATTTCAGAAACATGGAGAAATTCAGAGACTGAAGAGTCTGTCAGTTGAGTAGTGGCTCGAGGAGCCTCTAATGGATTAATACTCATGTTATGTGTATTTATTTATAACTTATTCCTGGAACTGTGTTCTGCTGGGAGCACTGGGTGTGAGCAGTTGGGTCTGTTTGTGCTCCAGTGCTTGATGGGGAAGTGGAGGCGCAGTCGTGTTGTGAAGGCCTGTGTTGCAGTGGGGACTGGTCAGCTCTTTCTGTTAACGATGTGTTTCACTCACATGAAAATGGGAACTGTATTCCCCATGAAAATGTTTTCTATTTTGTGCCAAATCTCTTCCAGTTTCCTCAAGCCCAGAACAAAACCTGAGTATTTGTGGGGAAAAGAGGAGAAACTAACTTCTAGCAAAATTTCTTTTGGTTTTTGGTTTTACTTCAAAAGCTATTTTGGAACAAAGAAAATTTCAAATTCTCCCTAGGCTGCTGTACCCACCAGGATTTTTAGGTGAGACCTGCACACCGCTGGCCTTTGGTTCCAGTTTTATTTTACAAATCAGTGAAAATCCAAACCCCTGCTGTTCTGGGAGAGACTCTAATTTAAGAGAAAGGCAAATTTCCCTTATGGGTGCAAAGGGATATTCCTCACATCCTCCCAGTGAAATGTGCCCACATGGTGGTGAAGGTGTGACCCTTTGTGAAGTTTGGTGAAGAGCATGACTTAAATTTGCATTTTCAAAACTGGTCTGACCAGCTGTGAAATCTGCACTGGTGTGGGATTGGCCTGAACTGGGCTGAGCCAACCTCCCGGCTCTGCAGCCTGGACATTTTCTCCAAGGCTGGAGCATTTATTGCTTTTTAACTGCTCAGTCATTGACTGCTGAGGTGCCCTTGTCCTCCTGTTCCCTGTCTCGTAACGGGCCTCAACTGATGACCCAGTAATGACAGTGGGAAATTTCATGCAAGCTTTTTGAAAGACTGATGGCATCTACGTGAATGCAACTCTATCAAGATAGGTTTGGATCAGCATATCCCACTCTCTAAGCAATATTTAAAGGGCTGTTCTCAGTCTGAAAAAACAAAGTCTGTATAAATGTGCCAGGCTGCAACACCCAAAGTCAACCTGCAGCTGCAGGTCTGAGGAATCCTGGTTCTGTTCTTCTCCTTGTGAAGAATCATTGGTGGTTTCCCTGATGTGCCATCAGTACCATTGAAAGAGGCATCAAATCATTCTGCCTTTTTTTTGTTTGTTTGTTTGGTTGGTTGGTTTTTTTAAGGCCATTCTAACATCTCAGGCTACAGAGTGATTAGTGTCCAGTCCAGAGCACTGGACAAGGACTTGCAGACTTGAGTTGTCACCTTGGGCCTAGGGATTTCCTCAGATCTGATTTCTTGGGCCATGCCACCCCTCAGGTCTCATGTTGGGTTCAAGTCGGCAGTTCTCTTTTGAATGTACATTTCCCCTGGTAGTCTGTGTCATGTGTTCTTTTTTTGTGTACCAATAAGGTATTGGTTCTTTCCTCCAGTTTTGGAGGGATGCATTTGGGCATATTGCTCTCACTGGGAATAAAATAAGCACTTAACTGTTTCACAGCATGGTCTCCTAATTCATGTTCTGGAGCCCCCATCACAAGAGAGACATGGAGCTGTTAGAACGAGTCCAGAGGAGGCCACGAGGATGATGCGAGGGCTGGAGCAGCTCTGCTGTGAGGACAGGCTGAGAGAGTTGGGGCTGTTCAGCCTGGAGAAGAGAAGGCGCCGGGGAGACCTTCTAGTGGCCTCCCAGTGCCTGAAGGGGCTCCATCGGCCAAGGGCAGGTAGTGACAGAACTTGATGGGGTAATGGCTTGAAACTGGAAGAGGGGAGATGGAGATGAGATGTGAGAAAGAAATTCTTGTCTGTGAGGGTGGTGAGACAGTGTCCCAGGTTGGCCAGAGAAGCTGTGGCTGCTCCTCCCTGGAAGTGTTGAAGGCCAGGTTGGATGAGGCTTTGAGCAACCTGGTCTAGTGGAAGGTGTCCCTGCTGCTGGCAGGGGGGTTGGAACTGGATGAGCTTTAAGGTCCCTTCCAACCCAAACCATTCTATGATTCTATGATAAATGCCTCGAGGTGTTAGACAGAGCCAGGTCCCTTTGAACCGTCTGGCCGAAGGACACAGGGGAGCTTGGCCATGCTGCGTGGAAATGGGAGAAGAGCTCTTGCTTGGGTACTGGTGGCTGCAGAGCGCAGGACGGGCTGCAGCTGAGTTAACGGTGTCCCTGGAGCTTGGCTTTGCTGTGGTGGGGCTGAGCTGGGACACCCAACCTTGGGGCACGGGTCTGACTGGTGAGCCATGACCAGGGCTCAGGTGGAGCATGTCTGGGGAGCAACAGGCTGGTCTAGAGGGGAACAGTGCATAGGCTTAGCCCGGCCTCCAGGCTGAGGAAGTCTACAGGGAGCATAAGGCAGCACTCACAGCTGGAACAGGAAGGAGCTTGGCTGCACTCAGCTTTCTGTTTGTGATGGCCAGGCAACAGCAGAGTTAGGCAATGCTGAAATAAGGGTTGGTAGGATGGACGCCTCTACTCTGCCCTGGTGAGGCTGCATC